ATACATCTTGATGAGTTAATTACGACTATATGCTTTCTATGTCAATTAAGTCATTGCAGTTCAAAAATCAATCGTAAAACTCTCTGAGCTGAAGACAATAAGACACGCATATAAAATATTTCATAAAATAATCTTATCATTTTTCATCCTCTTAGCTATAGAACGTGTAACATACAAACAAATGTAGTTGTTCATTCAGAAGCTCTTGAAAAGATTTTTCTAAATATTAAATCAAGTTTCATTTTCAGATTTGAATTGACGTGCAACTAAGTATTTTCTTGTACAAACAATTTATTTGCCAAACTTAGATAATGGTCTTGTATGAAATTTAAGTTTCGTGAAAAAAATATCAGATAAGAATACGAATTTCCGCGGTTTCACTGGGTTCTGTATGAAATTTTAGTATATCTCCATCCGCATATTTTTCAAACAACCGTAACTAAAGATGATAAGACAGAATACATTTGAAAGGATAGGAAAAATGAGAGGAGCGTAACTAGACGCATATATAGTTCGAGAGAAAATACAACTAGCTATTAACAGAAAATGCTGTAACAAAATCCATTACTTTGTTGTTGTACACTCGTCAGCATCGAATGTTTGGATGTTAGTTTTTGTACTGAAATGTTTTCTTTGCATTTTTAGAGAACTGAATGAGGAATCTTTTAGTAAAAAACTCAAGTCGAAGTTATGAACATTAACAATGATATTGATAAAGTACTTAGAAACTCATTTCATCTAGAAGATTAATTAGCATGTTTTCTTTGAAAACTTTGTATCTCGGTGAGAGACTTTGTTCGAAACTTCTGAAAATCTTTTATGTTATCAAGTCTATTTCGGGCCTTCATATGAGCAAACTTTCAAGTTCAAATGTGAAAAGATTAGTTTGTTGTAATAGTAGGGCTCTGAAAGGGATATATCTGAAAAATTCGATATATAGCCAGGAATAAGCTATCAACACAGACTCTTTCTTGGGTATTCATAATTCATTAACGTTTGCATGATGCATTTAGTTGCGAAACAAACGAATAGATGCCTTCGAATATTCCTTCGTAAAAACATGTGTCTCTTTTTTTTTGTAATGCTCGTCATTTTTAAATGAAAGGTCATAGAAAACATGGCAGCCTTTCATTTTGTTCTGAATTTCACATTCTTTCGAGTAATATTCTATCAAAAAATAGCTGTTATGAACTCTTCTAAAACCTGAAAAATAACGGGTTTAGTTTTGCTAGAACTTTACTTTCATAATCCATCCATGGAATGTTTATATGCAATGCATCTGCTATAGAACCTCATTGGTTATTCAAATTATTATTTGTGTTTCAATTAGAAGTTCATAACTCTAATAAAAAATTTCAAAAAAAAAACACCTTGTTCGTATAATTTTAAGCAGTACTGTATATTTTTTGAGAAAACAATCACGTGAAATTGGCCTTCTAAGAGTATGTTGAAAGCACGTAACCATGAGGACAAAAATGTGTTTGCTTCAGGAAATTAAAGACAAAAAAAGCATCCAATAATTAATTTGATATACGCATTACTTTGTTTCAGAAAAAACAGACTCTATGTCTTCTTTCTTGTCACGTAATCCTTTTAAATAAATATTAATGTGAACTATTTTGTTAATCCCTCACCATCACATATTAATGTGCATCACTTTTTATTCTCTTACACTTGTAAAATAAAACATTATGGGTTAATATATTTTTGTCTCTCTCTCTCTCTCGATGTCATACATGAAAAAAGTATTAATTAATTCATCAATTAATAATTTTTCCTCATACTCGTTTGATTTGCTAGTTGATGTGGATTATTCATCGTATTCATTTCTAACACAAATTCGTCGAGCACTTGTTCATGTCATTTTATCACTGAGTCAATGGAAAAAGATTTTTTCATAGAAAATTTAGGCCTAGACCAACAACAGTGTTATATCTTAGATTCGTCTTGATCATCTTTGTTTTCGCTACTTTGTTAATATCATTAAATAGCGTCATCTCGATAATGGACAATTTCTTTCAGCTCTGTGTCATAATGAATTATCAAAGTGCCATCTATTAGTATTTTGTACAAATATTATTAAGATCTAGATGATCTTGAAAATAAATCAGCCTTGATTAGCTACTTAGTTATAATAAAAATATTAACACTTTGCATTCGATACATCAGCCTGTAGATCAATTGATGATACACCAGGATTTTATGAATGAAATGTGGAATCCATAGAGTTCGTTGTGTTTTATCTGCCACCATCATTAGTTTTGTTAGAATCGGCTTGGGAGAAAATCGTGATGGGATTAACACTAATCTGACATTTTTTCGATATTGTTCTTTTTTGCAGTATTTTGCGTTTTTCTCTGAGACCGTGATCATGTCTGAAAAGTGATTTTTGACATCAATAGAGTTCATCGAATTCTATTTAGAACCAGAACAAGGTAAGTTGAAATCGTTTTTATGATTAGTTGATTTTAAAAAATACTCGAATTGTGTCTTAAGATATCCTATGTGTCAAAAGAACAATTAATGTTTTTAGTTTATTTTAACAGTATAATTTAGTATCATCATCATGAACATGTACATTATTAGGCATGTTAGAATTTCAATTAATAGAAAATGAAGAAATAGCCGTTGCAAATTTTTGTTTATCTACATCATCCTTAGATCTCTTGTTGCATATGACGTTTGTGCTAATAAGTTGTAGTTTTTCACTGATTAATTCTGATGAAGTTGGTTCAAAAAGAATTTTCCATTGTTTGTATTACACATGGGTTACAAAGTAGAACAGAATATTTATAATCATATGCATAAAAAATATATATACGCATTTGACGATGATTATTACAGGCAAAGAGACGGCGCAAATACTCGGTTTACAGTAATTGATTGACGCAAATATTAATTCAAAAAGACAAATATTAAAAGAACGGTCTTCGAATATTCAAAGAACAACGATCTTCGAAATTGATAATGGAAATTTTTTCGGGAAAGAGAAAAGAATTGGTTTCTTAATCCTGTCAGTAAGTGAGCATCTTCCTCAAAAGACATACTCTCAATTGCATTGATTAACCTAAGAACACAAATGTCTAGTTACTATAAATAATGGTAAGTAACATGACACAATTCGAATTCTCTTAATACTCAATTATAATAAGTAGGTCTTAGTAGTCAAACAAAAAAACGAGCTTGAATATTAATTTCTTCTAACGCATATCTCAATAATAAATTTTCTTATAGGTCAAATATGTAGTAACATAAAAATATCAGACAGTTTCAACTTCAAAGGATTCCAACGTTCGTCATTGAACTAGCTTTTTCGATTGGTTTATAAACAATAGGATTGATGAAACACATAAGAAAACTGCACGTTTCAGACACATTTATAAGTCATGATTTTTTGTCTGGATTCTTCATCATCGACATACCCTTCATTCATCAAGTAATCCTTGTTTTTAGTTTGTATCAATGATAATATGAAAATAATAGTTTTGTTTGATCTTATCAGATAATAATAATTCAATTTTATACGACTAACAATATTATTTTTTTTTTATATAGAATTCTTCTTCGAAAATGATTTGATTATTATCGTAATTATGAAGCTTAATGAAATTTCATGTTTTGTACTTTTAGAACATCTGACATGTACTGTCAATCAAAGAAATGAAAATAGTTATCAAATAAAAATATTCTATAAATATCTAAAGCAAATGTTTCTTTCAGAATTTCCATATTTATTAATTTTTCTCTAGACAATAGTAAACGCCATTATATGACACTGAACAGTTCGATCTTTATTTTGACATATACGGTAAGTACTTTAATGTATTCCTTATCTTATTTTATCCTGCTGTCATTCGTCTATGTTTTTGACATATTTTCTAAACATACCTTATAATTACTTTTTTTCTCATTTCCTGCATCTTACCTTTTAGATCACTACTATAATAAAAAAAAATAGGGCACGGTTAAATAGGTGACACTTTGAACATTTCTTACAAAATTGATTGGCATTAGGATGTAAAAGCGGATTATTATTTACTTAATATATAATAAGAATTTTTATGCAAAAAAAAAGCAAAGTGTGATTTATTGTATTGATTATGTATATTATGTTTTAACATTAGTCTATATCAATTCGAAATAGCTATTCAAAATTTATTTATTAATACAGTTAGAAAAGTCAATTGTTAGATATTTTGAATAGAAAACAGCAGAATTGATAATGATTTGCTTTTACAAATCTTGAAGTCTGCCGTTATTTTCTTTGTTTTAGAGTTGTTTTTTTAACCAGCCGATTGACTTCCTGAATAATGTATTCGTTTGTTTTAATAAATAGAAGTAAATATTATTTCTATGTTAATTCCAAAAGAACTTAAGAAGACCTCAATAATTTATATAACTTGAATGCGCAAAAAATAGAAGATGATGCAATCAACATACGTTTTATACTGTTCCAAAACATTTTGAAGATAAATAAACATCGAGGGTTTTTAATCCTAGTGAATTATTTCTATGACAGTATGAAAAATTCAGTATGAATTTTGAAATTGTAAAAATATGTTGTTTCCATTAAGAAAATAATATTTTTCTTAATTATATAAAGTTTTCATGAATTTGTTAAATAAAACCGATAGTGTATTTTATCTTTTCATCAGTAAATTTTGCTAATATTCATATTTGTTAAGGCTTTGATTGAACTCTCTATAAATGTAAGGTTCGAGGCGCTACAAATCTTCCAATTCAGTGAATATTAGCTCTTTTTCCTTTTTGCGTCTCTCTGATTTTTTTCTCATTTATGATCTGTTATTTGTGTTTACCGGTTTTCTCTTTAATGGCTCTGTTACTTCCGATTAATGCATGTGCTTTTTTCTTAGTTCGGGTAACATTTGTCACAACCAAAATTGCCTCGATTCATAGAATACATTCTATAAATATATATACTAACATATAGTAAGAATTCAGTGGAAATTTATTAATCAAGGTAAAATAAATTTTTATATTTATTTAATTCTTAAATCTTTTATTACAATCGAACAACCTTTATGTATATGAATATTTTGAAATATTTTTTCTCCATATGAATTTTCATAAGAATCATAATTAATTGTTTTGATTATTTGAAAATCGTGCTTAAGAAATGCATTTAATGAATAATCACTAGTAACATCAGCATAAACCATATCAAATTTTTTTTCTTTTGCAATACATATTGATGAATCGATTAGTTGACTAGCAAATTTATTTTGTCGATAGTTTGGATCAACACCCAGAAAATAAATATGAAATAAATTTTTGCAATGAAATTTTTCAAATAGATTTATATTTTCATGTAACTTTGTTATCAATTCACTAATATGTTCATATTTATGTAAACATGTTTTATTTAATGATGAATAGAGACTATCCGAATGATTATTATCATATATTTTATCATGATGGTTAAGTGCGTAGGCGATTGGTAAAGAATGATGATAACTTGTATCATAAAATGCTAAGCTCAATTTATCATATTTAGCTTTGTGTAATACTTCTTTTAACCATGGTAGATCAATTTCATCGGGTATTTTCGTATTTAAATATTTATTCATTGGTTCATGTTGAAAAAATGTTTCCATAACGAATAATTGAAAATCTATTGTAAATTCATCTTCACGCATTAAACGACATGTTAAAGACATATCTGAAAAATATTAGCACAATTTTCATATAGTAGTTAACTACAATAGACGAAATTGTAGCATGATAAAAAAAAAAAAAAAGAATTCATTATCATTATATTGTACACAATAATGAATCAAATCAATGAAGAAAAAGTAAAAGAAAGAGAGATGATGGGAAAAGATTATTCTATTCGAGTTGTAAGACAATGAAAACATGAGTTTCCTCTTTGAGTAAATAAATCTGAGCTGATAAGATAATCATCTGATTGATTATGTTACTAATAAGAAGAAGAGCTCGAGTATTTCTACATTTGAGAGATATAATCTGACATGACAGAATAAGAGAAGAAATGCGATCTTCTCTTTCGGTTGGATGAACAATCAATCTTATTATATTTTTTTTTTTGTTGCTTCTATTAACAGCAACTTTTCATTATTTTTATAGTCACATAAAATGAATCAATATGAACTAAGCTAAAATTTCTTGTGTAGTTTTTATCATATAATTCTTCAATTTAATCTAAAACAAAATAAAAATTGTAAATATTTCATTTACATTGAATTATTTATACTTTTATATAAGTGACTGTATGAAAGTGTTTCTAACATTTTTAAACTAATAGATTTATCATAGAAACAATTGTTCAGATAGTTCTCGATATAGAGAAAATATATGAAAAATTCTAAAGTAGCTGTCAAACAGTATTATTTTCCGAACATAGTAAAGGCATTATAGACGCATTTCCGTTTCTTCTTATGTTTGTGTTTAAGTACTCCTATGCAAAAAACAGAGAAAGAAGATAGATAGAGTGAGGCGCACTCTGATGTTAAGACATACATTATATCTCATCAATTTCTTTTCTGACTTTCTTTTTCTTCGTTTGTTTTTCTCGCGTACTCACAAAGAGACATATATCTATATTCAAATGAATGCTTCATCAAACAAACTATATGACATCATTTGAATTCATATTTTTTTTTCCTCATTGGATTCATATCAAATAATGAGTATTATTTTTCGACTGTTACATATATAGTCTTTGTCTTAATTAGTATTATCCTCTTTTTTTTTTCAATAAGTTTCATGATATACAATTACTAATGTCTTAAAATAGTTCAAGTTCATTTTTTGTTTTTAGATTAAATGTATTATGAATATTCTAAAGACAAAATGACTTTTGCAATATATAACAATGGTATTTTACCAAAATCAAACCAATCTCTTTGGTTTCGTTCTAAAGAAAAAGATGTTTCATATGGACAAACTTTACGTTCTAATCATTATAAACGTTTTACATGCTTTCAAATGATTGAAATGTGTGTTCTTATTCTTATTCTATTTGAACATACAATTGTATTTATATTAACATTTAAAAAAAAATCATTAAAAACAAATCAAACGTATGAAAATGAACTATTCTATTAAGAAAAAAACATTATAAATTCTATTTTGAATTTTTTTTTCTAGAAGACAAAATCAACGTTCAATACTTTTACCATCAAAATCATTTATCTATAGTTGTCTACATCGTAATTGGATACGTGCATTTTCTTTTTCAAATATATGTCTTTCATGTGTTTATTTCATAATGTTATTATTAAAACATTATCATCCAAATCTTGTTCATCATTCATCAATTACATTTTATTCATTACCATTAAATCTTTTACAACAAATATTAATTAATTTTAGTACATTCCATCTCTTTATTATTTCAATAAGTGTATTTCAATATTTTCTTCGTTATTATCGTTTATTAAAAAGTACATATTCAAGTTATTTTTTTAATGGTAAAAATCTTTTACTAACAAAACATACAAATGTTGCACTTATATTAAGCAGTTCATTAGCACTTATATTTGCTTATAACTTTATATTTTACACTCCAAAATCTCCTCAAACAATAAGTTTACTTCCATTAATAACATTTAATATGATATTATTACCATTAATAAATCTAATCATATTTTCATTTATTTTTATATGTCTTATGATAAATTATTTCTTTAAATCTAATCTTGAAGATATATTAATTGATAATGAACAAGAAAATTTACGTTTAATTATTGAAAAAAATACTTGTATTAAATGTTATTCAAAAATTTTAGAAAAAAATCCAAATTTATTTCAAGATAAAAATTATTCATATAAAAATTTATTTAAAATTTTTTTTGCTACACGTTTACATTCATCATATCCATATAACATGCAAAGAAATTATTTTTTTAATAAGAAAAATACTTATTCACAAACAGATTTTTCTTATGAACATGAAAATGATATTGAAAATAATTCAAAAAATAATTTATTTTTTAAAACAACATTAATTAAATTAAATCATCAACATTCATTATGTCATTTATGTTATTATTTATTAATAATATTTCTTTTTAAATATATTTTATTAACATTTCCACAACATATTCTTATAATGTTAATTCATTTAAAACAGTTTTATCAATTTATTCTTAAACATAATCTATCAAGTAGTTTAACATATTCATTATATGAAGATAATGAATTTTTATTAACAATATGTCATTATTTATTTTTATTATCACGTTTTGGTGATAGTTTTTTATTAATACGCTTACCATATTTAATAAAAAAATATTTTCCATGTTGGTGTCATTTTAATTCAAAATTATTACGTAAACAACAACAACAACAACAACAACAACAACCTGTAAATCAAATATTAACAATGAAAAATTCTTCATCATCATATAGTGAACCAATATCTGCTTTAGAAATATCAAATTTAAATGATTTATCAAACGAATTAACACAAAAAAAATCTGTGAAAAAATCGCATTGGAATACAAAACATCGTCGATTTCGTTTACACTTTCAATTTATACCATTATGGTCAAATGGTCGACCGAGATTATTTAAAGAACATGTTTGAAATCATTGGATGTGTTTTCTTTTTTTTGTATATCATTGTTGTTTAAGTCGATATTTAAAAAAAAAAGTTATTTTCTCTAATTTTAAATTCATAAATACTAAAAAGTCGTTGTTTTTTTTTTCAATAAAATTAAACGTCAAGGAAAAGAATCATATTTATTCATGAACATGAGTACTTTCAAAGGAGTATTATGCACCAGTTGCTTGTTGGTCACGAACATGTATAAAAATAAGTGAGCATGTTAGAAATGAATCGGAAATGAATCGACAATTCAGAACGTTTCTATTATCGTCTAATTTCCGTATCACTATTAAATAAAAAGAATGAACTAGCCTATGTTTTACTCTTGTTTTTCTATTCTTTCTTTCTTTAAAAGTTTATATCTGTGTCCTAAATGTAAAGTGTTATTTTCAAAATGTATTTTATATTATAGAATTAATGTCTGAAGAAGTTGTATACTACAACGAAATGTCACATGGTTTTAATAAAAATATGAATTATACTATATTAAATTAACTCAATCATTATTTAGAAGGAGAATTCAAAATGACTAAAATTTTTCCATGGTTTATTTGAAAGAAATGAAATGAACAAATGAGTAGTCATTGCGATAATCAATGTACTGTCAGAACAAAAAAATAAATAAAGAGAGATGGCTGTTTAACTTTTCGATAGACGTTGAAAATATCTCATTGCAACAGTTTTCAAGAACGCTGAAATATTAATATGACCGTCATTATAACACTATCGCAATTTCATTAAACCCTCATTTATTATGATTTTATTGTTCCGATGTATTGGGGTTGGAGTTCCCATGTTGTCTCGTATTCTTGCAATCGATACTAACAATTGTTTTTTTTGTCGTAAATAAATCACAGTTTCAAGGATTGGATGTGGAGACTTTACATATTTTTTGATTCGAGAATGTTGACCTTACAAATAATTAATAGTACGTCGTTTTTGTAACGCTCCCGTTTTGAGTTTGCCTATTATCACTTTGCCCTGACTTCGTATATTGTGCTTACTTAATATTTTGCCCTTGAAGTATCAAGTTATATTGACCTTGATTCTTATTTTCCTGTTGTTACTCCCTATCTGCGTATATAAGCATGCATTTTGTATGCAAACGATGCGATTGTATGATATGAAGGCTTAAAATAAAGTGTAATACCATCAGCACTACCGTTCCTTCTATCAGAAATCGTCACAGTTTTATATTACGTTTGAAAAATTTATGAAGATTTTTGTTCTGACAATACATTGATTGTCTCAATGATTATCGATTTCTCTTCTTCCAAATAATCAACGGAAAGTAAATTCTTACACAAGAAAATCCCTAAACAGAATAAAGTTTTTAAGTAATCAACAGATAGCACATCTGAAAACAATACATCGTACATACAGAAATTGGGAATATCATAACAGAACAGTTTCTAGGCTAGCAAGACGATTGAGCAAGTGAGATGAAAGAAGCGACCGTTCGTAGCAAAAGATATGGTAGTATAGCCACTTTTTTTTATACATGTTCCTGGTCAACAAGCAAATCATGAATTAGTCTCATTGGTTTGTACTGTACAAACTACACTTTGTACATCTTAACATTTAGAAAAAATATAACAAACATTTCTTTTATGGTAAAAATGAATCATCACATTTCAGATAAATCCAGTTCATAAGTAATCTTCACTCTTGATAATTATTCTTGACTTCATGGAATAAAAGTGCGTTAAGGTTTTTCAATATAATTTAATTTGTCTTGTAATGTGTACTTTTTCTTGTCAACACTACATACGTCATTGTGCCATAGGCCACGACTTAATTTACTCTGACATTATTTTAGATATGCAGTTTTCAAAAGACAAATATTTCGAGTGATGAAAATACTTAGGTCACTGAATTTCAATACGCTCATATTATTAAATCAACATGACTGTTGGTAAAAATGCAAATCGATAAACTAAATGATTAACTGAATTGTATCATCCTATGTAAAACGTTTTTTTACAAGTATATAGATCGTCTAATCATATGCGATAATACCAATAAAAGAAGTTATGATAATCTCAAGACATCATAAATCAATAAGCGATTATCTTGAATATATTCGAGCAGAGGTGGAACCGGTCCGGACAGGACCGGATTTTTACCAGTTCATCATTACAAAATTGGTTTTTGCATCCAAGAATTTTCTCTACTGAAAACGGTGTTTTATGATATTTTCAAGTCAGAAGAATGAACTTTTTTTTTATTGGTAACACGATTATATTAATGTTTTCGCGCCATATATCTTATGCTAGAATTTTTTTTTATATGACAGAGCGANTCATTTTTGAAATTAAGATGAAAAACAGATTTGATCTGTATAACTAATTCATATCGATGTCGGGCTCGAGAAGTCGACGCGCCGCTCTATAAAATATGAAGGGAGAGTTTCAGTCCCAAGTTTTAGTTTCCAGTTCGGATTAGGGGTGGCGATTTGCTGTTAATTTATTATAATTTTAAATTGGATCTACATAAATTTAAATTTTGTAAAATTATTTAAATTCAAAATAAATAAAACTTCTTAAAATTTATTTTAAATATAAATTTTTTTAAATTTATTTTTGGGTTTATAAATTTTTCGTAAATGTAAATTGATCACTCAATAGTTCAGATTCTTGCATGTAAATATTCAATTCCTCTCCGCCAACATTTTATGTGAACAGATACTTTTATGGTCGTTTATTTTCGCCGGAATTTTGCCAGTTTGGCTGTAAAATTCGTCTGGCTGCTTGCTGACCGGACTGGACCGGACAGATTTTTTTACCGGCCGGACCAGACATGGACAGAAAAAACGTGTCCGGTTCCACCTCTGTATTCGAGATTAGTTAGTAACAGAAGAACAATAATGATGAATGTATTTACATTTGTGTTTGTAGAAAAAACTCAATCAGTCGATTACATGTTAATAAAATAAATGGAACGGTAGTAATTGACGTATTCAAAGACATGATCATTTCATTTCTTTCGATTATTTCACTTATTAGTTTATTGATTGGAATCATGCATTGTATGTATTAAACTTAAAATAATTAGCAAATGGTGAAGTATACGAATGATACGAAAGAATATATTGCTGTTGTAAATTTTCATAGTTCACAGAATACTTTGAAACAAAGATAAGATTCTGATAAGATTGCTCTCGTGGATCAGTGAAATACTATTTATGCAATCAACATACGAAATCATCGAACAATCCGTTGACATATGGAGACACAACATAGATGAAAAAAAAATCAAGCGAATCAATTCAAATACTCGATGAACATGTCATTTGATCGACACAAAAATCTCACTATCACAAATGAAAGTAATAATCGAACTTTAAAATTCTCGATTAATCGTCGTTTATAATTCGATTTTTATCCAAGGATGACAGATTAGCATTTCTATTAAAATTCATTCTAATGTTTTGGTATCATTTGCATAAAAATTAATAGATACCACAGTCTTAGCTTTAAGTTAATATTATTTATCATTCTGATACAAATACCACCTGAGGCTATAACTCTGAAAGTCATGTTCAAAACTTTCTAATAGCAGGAGAAAGGCTCTTTTTAACTGGAAATGTCATTCCCAAAAATAGAAAAAAAATCATTTTGTAATGTGGGGATTTTTTTCTAAAAACCGACAAGTAATTGTTCACTCTTGATAATAGTATTTCCGATTAATACCTTTGTTCCGTTACTGATATTTTTGAATATGACTTCCAGAGGTACAGTTTCAGGTAGTATTAGATGATAATTAACAGTAATATTAACTTAATACTAACATCTTAGCATTAATCTATTCTAATACATATAATATCAAAGCATTAGGATTAACTTTACTTATAATGCCTAAAGCATTAGCATTAGTATTAACCCTTTGAGGACCGTGGGACATACGTTGTTCCACCTGTTTTTCAATAGACAAAAAAATGTTTTGTTCACATTAAATTGTTAGGCCTGCACAGTAATATAGGCCATAAGTTGCCATGTTAGTCGACTAATAGGACAATCTAACACCTGTATTACCGTGCAGATCTAACAGTTAAATGTGAGCAAAACATTTTTTTTTGTCTATTGAAAATCGATAGGACAACGTATGACCCATGATACTCAAAGGGTTAAGAACTGCTAAATCTAATGTAAAATCCTTATTTTTATCTAATAACAAAATAATATCTTGTTACGTGTTGTCCCAGTGAAAATCGTTTGTTCAACATTGAATTCAAAATTGAATCAAATTGATTTATAATTATTATTTTTGTTCAATCGATAAAATATTGATCAACTACTGGAATCATTACGAACTTTGATAAAAAGGGAGCGTAAGAATATTAGCAGCTTCATTCATTGCAAAAGTAGTATTTAGTTACTAATCGTCCGTTCATCGACTATAAATTAAAAATTAGAACTGATTCGAACTACTAGATTTGTATCTTGTATAAAGAGAAGGTACTTTAGATTTAGTTATTTATATATTAATAGGTGGAAACTGATAGTTTTAGACGACTGAATTATGTAGATCATCGATAGAACAAAGCTTTTGTCAAGTCATTCTTCATTGGGATATTGAGAACTGTAAAAAACAACTATTTATATTATTAATCGAATTCCTTTCATGTTATAATCTGTTTATCTTAGACAGTCGAAGCTGACTGATTTATGATATTATTTAAATCTATGATTTTTCAAATGATTTACTGAATATGAGACCGTTTGAAATATGTTATTTTTAATAAATATCGCTTTATTTGCTGTAAAAGCTATATAATACAGAATTAATTCAACACCAAAAACCTCAATTATGTTTAAAATTTCGAATATGGAAACTTTTTACATACAACTAACGAGTATGCATGGCAACTGAAGTTCATTGAACTTATCCAAGTTCAAGTACACGCGTCACTTCTAAACTAAAAATTTTTAAATACAAACTACTTCTGACATATACGAACTAAAATATTTAAATTTGAAGGTATTTGAAGTATGCGGTTTGTACTAACAATTCAAAAATTCATCAGGATTTATTTTTCTCTTTTTGTTGCGGTTGGATAGAAGTCGTCAAGCTACATAAGGAATCATCTATACTGGACATTCCGGTAAATGGCGAGGAGAAGGTCAAACATATTTGGACGTCCATATAATTATTATGAATATTTTCTTTTTTCTTACACAATTTTTGGTGAAACTTTCATGGTTGGTTTGTTTTGAAGAACATGTTTAAGTAGGCATGGAACTGTATTAATCAGATGAATATAAATACAACGTTGAAATAATTCAAGATTATGATACATAAGCAGATAGCTATTTTGCGGAACGGCTATATTATATTTTGTAGTGCTATTGATATTGAAGTTTATTTTTTTGTTTTTTACTATTTTCTACTCATTAAAATCTAATGTATTTAAAAACAATAAACTTTTCAATAGATTATAATTTTATCTATTGTTTATGAAATGTATTTTTAGGTTTTTCTATATTTATTTATTTATTTTTAATGAACTGTTATTTAATAAAAGAAAAAGAACCGGCAAATTTAAACAAGCAGACTCGTCCTGAAAGATCTTTTTATACTAGACGTTAGAGCCTACCGAGTTGATCTCAGAACTGATGGGACCGGCTCTATGTCCGAAAATATTGAACACAATAGTCTCTATTTGTCTGAGAAATGTGTAAGGTGCACTAGTCATCGAATACAAAAAAAAATCAGAAACAAACTATCTCGTATCTTCGGAGCGGCTATCGATTTCCGATGAGAAATTTCATTGAGAGTATCAAAGTACGGTTTGACCACGTTCGAGTTCAGATTGAATAATTTCGGATTCGATGAGTTCTACTATATGTCCTGGAGAGAACGGAAGATGGAGTCAAAAAATGTTATGTTTACGTAGACGTACTCGATGGATGACCTTTAAAGAAAGGTATGCTTCACATATAGAAAAAGATATTAAATGAAAGTCAGAATTTCAGCTCTGTGTTTCTTTCATATTTAAAAATAATGATATCCTGGACTGCTCTCGTAAAAGGCTTTTTTTGTGTTTGATGATACGTTTACTCCTGTAACTCAACGAACTCTATCGAATCATGATGAAGAAAGTCAAATAAATCCTGATGAAGTTTTGAATTGTTGCCATATTACATACACTATAAATACTTTAAAATTTCAATATTTTTATCTGCGCATGTCATATCTAGCAGATCTTTTAATTTGTTGGTTTGCATGTGACACGAGCCATTTAACCCAAATAAGTTACATGTACCTGAATTCCAGTACACAACCTCTTGCTGTTAATCAAATATAAGATTATTTCTTCGATGTGGTAAATGTTAAAACATTTTTTTATTATTCGTACTTAATTAATTGTTGAGGTTTTGACAAGAACTTAATTTAATATTGTTCATTATCAACGTAGCTTAATTTGTTTTCCTAGACTTCATGTTGTTTACCACCGATGCAATAATAAATATCTTTAAACAAATCGATATCTAAATCGTTGAAAAATAGAATGTTTTGTTTTCTTCAGCTCTGCTATGCTGTCAAAGACCACTGTGATCATCCATTGCTTAATCCGTTAATCTGTACTTCCTATATGTTCTGATAATAGGAACATGTCATTGATTCTTTTATTCTGATGTGTTTTCGTCGATATCTCCAAATCAAATCAATATAACTATCTCTTCTATTGTATAATACAGACCTTCAAATGTCATTATCTAGATCGGATGTTTTTGATATGATGTGATAATTTTCTTCACTTATTCTAATTTATTGAAAAAGATCAAAATATGATATTTAGTTATTGAAAACAACTTCTTCAGACATAAACTAGAATAAGAAACAACACATAGAGATAATATTGACTAAACATTTTCTTCTGCTAGTAATATGAAAGCAATCAGATAGTACCAGTAATAGCTAATAAGGTTTTAATCCTTTTCTGTATTTTTAGCAGAAGAAATCTTTAGCCGATATTATGTATGTGTGTCGTTTCTGTTCTATTCTATGTCTGAAGAAGTTCTTTTCAGCAACAAAATGTCATATTTTGATCTTTTTCAATAAGTTAAAATAAGTGAAGAGAATTACCATACCATGTCAAACTACTCATCAACTTTTCTATCAAGAATAGGTCGAACACTCTTAAGATATGTTGCTATATGCCGAACAAGAGATAGAAACAAGAAAAATAAGCTCATGTTTATGTGTCTATAAGTAAACAATTTTTGGACGAAAAATGTTCTTCTCAATTGATTTGTCTACAAAACAGTGAACTATATTTTATTTGATTGAAAGTTGAATAAAAGCAAAAGATTTTAAGTATAAAACAAGCAGATAAATGGTACCACTAACTGAATATTTTCCTTCGAAGTTCATTTTAATAAACACTTATCTGAAGTGCCGACAGCTTCGGAACGATGTGGCGATAATTTGGAAATGAGTAAAGTTCCAAAGTATTATTAATTTCATCAATATGATTTTTTTTAAAAGATCATATGGAATAAAATATTTCAAGCTTAATTAGGTTAAATAATCATGGACTGAACATATATAAGAAATATCCATAAGCAAGCAGTCGTAAGCTAGATATCTGAAATCAACGGATAAAAATATCACGATTTTTCATAATGAATAATATCTCTTAACATAAATATTTAGCAGTTTTATTTTTCAGCATTTTGATTAAAACATAAACGTTATCAGTTTTGAGTAGTGAACTGCTTATTAAATGAAAAAATAAAAAATAAATCTTCCATTAGGAATATCTTTGTATTTTATAATTAAATTGTAATTCATAATTTTCAAATATAATAATACTTCATGTATGTTCTATAAATATATTCATAGATTAGCGTATAAATAATTAATTTTCTAATGTTCTTTCGTTGCAATTCTATACTTTTTTCCAGAAAATTTAATATAAACATTGATGCGTTGATTTTTTTTAAATATCTGTGTAATGAATGTTTCTGTTGTGAATACTAAAGGTAACAATCTTTTCCGCTTATTATCATTGAATTATTGCTTCACCTAATCCATTCAAGCTTCACGACATTTAGATCTGATAATTCAAATGTTCTTAATATTAGAGATGATTTTGCAATTCGTCAAATACTTAGCGTCAAAGATTTTATTAAGCTCGATTCTAATCAAGAGAGTAAACTGGAATCTGAATAGCATAGAGTTCCTTACAAAAAAAAAAACTATTGGATTTGTAAGCAATTGCAAATAGGTTTAAAGCACGAAAGTAAGCATTATTGTTTCCGTCCATTTTATTCTCATACAGACAATTATTAAGTTAGTTTTTCTATCGAAATTTATCATCATTCTATTATTGAAGCCATTAAATACATCTTTTCTTCCAATTATATTTAATGGTTAAAATCAGCGGATTGAATTTACAATAAATATAAATTACAGGAATAAATATATTGCTTCAAAAAAGTTTAAATGGACGACATAAATACAACACATATGAAAATACTCTTGCACATAAGGTTTTTTTATTTGTTACTCATGTTTTCAAACGCAACAATGAAACAGATTTTTTTCTTTATTCAATTTGCGTTTTTCTTTTATACATCAGAAGTGTTTTCGTGTTCTTCCAAGAATTCGTCCAATGCGTCTTCTATTTTATGTTTGATATCATCCGTCAATTGAAATGATGATGATTGTTTTGATTTATTTTGAGCATTTTGTTCAATAGACAATAATATTGGTTTTATTACAATATCCACGTTATCTTCACCTAACTTTTTTTCAAAATTTTTCAATGCTATATCTAATGCACGATGTGGTACAAATGGAAATGATTTTGGATTGTTTATTAATATATGTAACATAGCATGAACAAGTTGATCTGTATCAGATTTCATTAAATAAAAGTAACGATTGAGAGTCGTTTCGGCTTGTCGAAAAACTTGTTCACTTGATAGATCTTCGGAAAGTTTTTCTTTTTTAATTTTTTCTTTTATGGGTTTAGTTAAAACAAGACCAGAGATAACCGAAAAAATAATAATATATGATTTGAACATCATCATGCTAAAAGAAAAACAAGAATCAAGATTATAACGATAGTCGCACTTTTTAAAGATCAGTATAAACTCTAGATAGAATAAAGAAAGAGAAGAGTATTGTATGACATATTTCTCATAATGATTATGTTTGGAAAAAATAATAGCAGCGATAGTATCTATTAACTCAGCTCATAAATTGAAGAGAAACAGATATAAATGTAGATGATCGACGTTGAGTCGATCAAGATCATAGTAATTTGGCTAAAATTGATGTTCTAATTAAATTTTAAAGTAGATCTGTGATCTGATGATCGCTTGCAATGCATCATTCTTCTAAGGTTATACTGACAATTTCTACCTCCAAAAGATGTTTATATTATATACTACTGAATTGTAAAGTATTTCTGACAGCTAACTTCAAAGAAGATGTTAAAAATATTCTATTGTTTATCAATAGAATTATTACAAGTATCCAAAGGTTAGAAGAGAAGAGAGTTGATACTGGTTTTATATTTTATATACAAAAGACTTTTTTTAGTTGATTTTCGAAACACGAAATTTCCTCGAGCTTTTGAATGAGTTTGAATCTTTCTGATAAATTACTCTATTTATAAATGTTATTCTATTCATTCTAATAAATATTTATATAAAACTTTCCTAATATTAGATAAGTTAAAGTTGTTAATAAACAGACACTACTAGATAGTTATTCTTAATACCTGATGCTTATGGTGTATATTTCACGGATGTTGTATTGTATGTTAGAAAAGAAGGAATGAATGCTATCCTGATGACAATCTATTTAACGAGAAGAAATAATGAATCATCAAAGTAACAACAAAAAAAAAAGAATCTCAGTTAGATCAACCAATTAAACAAAAACTACATTTTTTTCTCTTTTTCTTTTTCACTCTCTGTCCCTTTTTTATTCTTATCCTGTCTTACTTTTTTTTTCTTTGTTCTATAATAGCATTGTGCATAAATTGTGTATCATATAATGAAATCAATTAATTCACTTGTATCAAGTATTCAATGAAGTAAATTTTCAAGTTATTTTTTTAAGCAGTAATAATCCTTTACGCCTAGATAAATCTATAGCTTGTGTTAATAGAAAATGCAACCTTTGATATTTCATAATTACCGCGAGTTTATATTTTATTAATTAAAAAAAAATAGATAATATAAATAAAGCGAGGAATTGTTTTCATGTGGATAAATCCACGTATAATTTAATTGTTCTGAACAGAATAAAAGAAACCATTAATAAAAAATTAAAGAATAGATAATTAAAATAAATCTTTTTTTATATACCACATTGACAACGTATTCTTGCTTATTGAATTGATAAATGCTGTTGATTAACCATAAAATACTGATATTCTATCTGTCCTTTAATATGATAACTTAGTAAAGACTGGAAAGAAAAGAATTTAAAGAATGATTACGTGAAGTAAACTTTTACTATATAGTGCTTCAGGTCATTGTACCCTTAATGCCGATACAAATACATTTTACAATGACTAACGAAATCAAATTATGAAAAGAAAAGTAAAAGATAGTGAAAGGCTACAAATTTACTTAACATTTCAAGGAAGAAAAAAGACGAAAAAGTATGAATAATGTGAAGGGCGTTCGAAATACAATACTTACTTATACAATGTTAATAAAACTATTGTTTAGGAAGGAAAAAAAGAACGCTGTTTCTCTAAATAGAGTCACGAGACAAAAAAGACTATATGATCTTGCACGTGTCATATTTCTTATAAAGTATGTCTTTTTTTTTAATAGACAGGGGTTATTACATAAGTTTATTAAATAAGAAAAGAAAATGAGATATTTTGCCCTTAATGTTGATTAAAACATCTATGAAAGAAAAATTGTTCTTGAATATCAAAATGTTGATTGGAAAGTTTCATGATAATCACTGAATCAGTATTCCTATGACAATTAACTGCCGCTTATTTTGATTTTCAGAGAATAAAATATTGAAGGAATAAATGATGAATCAATGAAAAGAGTCTAGTTTTGAAATAGATCGACAATTATCTTTAATTTTCTGACAAAGAATATCAAAAGTACTTCTATGTCAATAATTCTGAATATTAACTTGACTTGTCGAATAGATAATTTTTAAACATGATAATTATATTTGAAGATATAATGCATGTAATAAGTGCTCGGCTCTCAAAAGTATTTTATATTTACAAGATTATTTTAATTTGATTGATGAACATGCCTTTCAAAAAGATGGTACTAGAGAAAATTAATTAAAAAAGAAATTGAACATGTTTCTGTTAGTACTAAACTAGAGAGGATTTTTTTTTGTACTCATTAAGACTTTCATGAAGTTATTCAGACAAGAGAAAAAAAATGAACTTAAAAAATGAATTTGTACAGAATAATAATTAAGAACTATTTTTGAACAGTTGATGTTTTTATATTATTTGTATTCTTTCGCCATTGGAATTCTATCATGAAATAGAATATGTTGAGATTTTTCATTAAATTTCAAGAAACACTGAATTCATTTGAGCTGAAAAAGACTTCTTCTGACATATTCTATCTTGAGAAAGGTAAAGAAACATTTTATTTTCTTTATTCAACCAAAAATAGAAATTCTATGATTAACTACTTAATGAATTTCAGAGTAAAATGTGTATTTATCCATCATGACATTCCGAACAGAATCTTTTTTTACTCTATTTCTATTTTTCTTTAATTTTATTAGACATTTATCCTTCTCAATATAATCCTCTTGTTTTTGTTTTAATTATTTCTATCATATTTAAGATTCCTATGCATATACTATTTTTATATACTAAAAGCATTGTCTTAAATAGAAAAAAAAAAGGTGTAAATTTTCATAGATTACAGGTTTTTATACAGAATCGATGAATAATTATTAAATGATATTTTATATGGAATTTGAAAAGAGAAAAGATTTGTAGTTAATTTCAATTAAGTTTTGTGCATTGTTGAATCTCATCAACGATATTACAACTAATTTCATTGCCTTTTCTAATTAAATCAAATCATTAAAAAATGTTGAGTGCTTCTATAACAGCTGCTAGTTTTGCACTCGTTAGATATAAATGAACTGAAAGTGAAAGTCCTTGAACAGAACTGTGTTTTAGTTATTCTTGTGTCGATTTTCATGCGTGCCAATAATCCAATAAACCATTTAAACGAACGTTATTCACGTGTCATCCACACGACACACTGTCTTAGACAGGCACAATTAAATTTTGTTCAAAATTGCCTACAAAAGATGACAGCACATAAAAACACATTTTGATCTGTTTTAGTTTTCAATATGTAATCGAATTGAATCATCTATAGAATGAAAGATTTTGACTTGCTGATCACTTTGATGCTAAAATCAAGTTATTTTAGTTTGATTAGAGTTGTGAAAAGGGCCTATCTCTATGGTATACTAAACAGATAGTTAGTTATTAATACTAACAAGCAATGTGAGTATTCGTTTGACAGAAAACAATTAAAAGCAACCTACTAGATCATATACAAATCTTTCATTGCGTACATATTCAGTCTAAAATACCCATGTGCATGCCGTTTATTATGTTTAATTATTGTTTTAATGAACTTTCCTCTCCACTTAGTTTACTTCACAACCAATAGAACATTTCAAGTGCTACACTCGTCTGAGAAAAGTTAGGCCATACAACTAAATATTTAGTCCGCTATTCGTAAGGCTCAATTTTCAACTAATACTTTACAGTTTTCTCAAGTAAAATAGTACTCATTTCATTTCAAATAATTATCATATTTGGAATCATGACAAAAAAATTGCGCCGATGCATGCATGTTTCGAACTATTTGTGTGACTTTTTTTCTGATTAAATTTTCACCACTTCACGTCCTCAGGTATATGTGGTAAAGTGAATTTGATTAAAAAGTCATTGCAGCAATGAAAAGAAAGTTTGAAACTTGTAAAATGCTTTTTGAAGATAAAAAGATAGGTGACTAAAGAATAAAATGGTTGTGTTGATTAAATTTATTTCAATACACATCCTGGAGAAGGTGAAGCGATGAAAACTTAATCAGAAAAAAGTCATACAAATAGTTTGAAACGTACATACGTCGACTCATTTTTTTTTGTCATGATTTTAAATACAATAATTATTTAAAGTTCATTGGGTGTTATTTTGCTTGAGAAAACTGAGCCACACGAATAGTGGACTAAAGATTTAGTTGTATGGCCTAACTTTTCTCAGACGAGTGTAGCACTTGAAATGTTCTATTGGTTGCGTAGTAAACTAAGTGTAGAGGAAAATTCATTAAAACAATAATTAAACAACAAACGGAATGCACATGGATATTTTAGACTGAAAATGTAAGCAATGAAAGATTTGTATATGGTCTAGTAGGTCGCTTTTAATTGTTTTCTGTCAAGCGAATGCTCACATTGCTCGGTAGTTTTAATAACTAACTATCTGTTTAGTATACTGTAGAGATAGATCCTTTTTACAGCTATAATCAAATTAAAATAACTTGATTTTAGCATCAAGGTGATCAGTAATTCCTAATCTTTCATTTTATAGATGACTCAATCAGATAGGACTTTGTAAATCAAAACGAACCGAAATGCATTTCTTTGCGCTTCCGTCCTTTTATTGATGGTAGCAATGGTGAACCTAATTTTGGTTCAATATCATTATTTGATTGAAATAAAATTTCATTATCATGTTTATTATTTGAAGGATTGATATGTTGTTGATTGGGACTATAGTATTCATTAATATAAGTTCTTAGCAAACATGAATGCATTGATGTACAAAGTTTATTATTATTACTATTATCATCATCGAATGAGGCATCATGTTCATGTTGTATTCTAGTCGAAGAAAATCATAAACATGCCGTGTCCAATGATCATCAGCACGAACTTGAAGTCAAATACTGTCTGAGAGAAAAAGAATATTTAATTAAACGTATTTCTTGAGTAGTCTGCAATGAAGTTTATTTCATTATCTTAAAGGTAGATTTATAACTCCGTAGCCTTC